GAAAAGGGGGTCGTGCAATAGATAATAGGTGTGGTGCAAAAGATTTGTAAGGTTGAACAGATTTGGGGCGTGCAATACATTCTGGGGCGCAAATGTATTGCTGGGCATCTGCGTGCAATACCTAAGAACAGTGCAATACAATTCTCTGGCACAATACCTTTGCAATACAATTGCCCAAAATCTCTTGCACCACCCCCTTTCAGCTGGACCCCCTTTTGGGTGACGATGAGGTAAGCTACGCCCCATCGGAGGGGGTCAAGTCTGTGTAGCGCGGCATTCCAGTGGGTCCCGAAACGGCTCACGAAACGTCGGCGGCTGCACGCTGGGCTGCTCCTAACGACGGCGAGGCAAAAACACGGGTCTGCGTGGCGCTGCACTCCGCTCCCAACGACCCACCCCCCACCCCCCACCTGCACGGTTTCCCCCGGGGCCGAAGGCGACCCGAGGAGGAGGAGGAGGAGAATGAGGAGGAGGAGGAGGAGGAGGAGGTGGAGGTGGAGAAGGAGGTGGAGGACGAGGAGGAGGAGGAGGAGGAGGGAAGAGGAGGAGGAGGTGGAGGGAAGAGGAGGAGGACGAGGAGGAGGAGGAGGACGGGTCGCCTGAGCCCTTCGGAGAACCCCGCCCCCAGGGAACGCAAGAAAGTGGCGACGGCTATTACGCTGCGCTACGCCCACGGAGGGAGCACAAGTTATGGGAAGAAAGATACACAGACAAAAACTCTCGGAAGTACGCGCGGATTTCTTGGATCTGCGCTGCCCCCCCCCCCCCCCCCCCCCCCGGCACGCGGAGCGCGCCAGGGGCTGCGCAAGAGGCGCCGCCAGGAGGGCCCGGCGCGGTTGCAAGAAAGCCGCGCGGAGCTCCGAAAGTGTGTGGGTCGATGCATGTTTTCCTTCTTCGCCAAGCGCTTTCGTATGCTACTCTTGAAGGTATGGGCCGAAGTTGCTCTCTGCCTGCCGCTGGCATGCAACGGCCGCGAGGATGGTAATAGATTAGCTCTCTGCGCTCGGGGGCGCTTACGCGAATTCCCGCACTCCCGCTCGGGGCTTCTTCCAGCGGGGGGGGGCGCCACCCAGTTGGAGGCCACGTAAAATCATGATGTAACCTGCGGTGGATGAGCTCTTTTTGATCGCGTTGTGTGAGCGTTTTCTTATTCGGCGTTTCGACATTGAGCGGAGGGGGGGGAGGGGGGGGGAAAGCATGCTACGCATGTAATGAAGTCAATGATGCAATAATGAGATTTGAATCCGTGGGTGGATCAGTCTAGTGTCGATGTTGAGGCTATGATGCCCCTTTTGATATCTGAGCCGGCTATGATGCCCGCTCGTGCCCACCCCGTCCCATCGCCAGGGCCTTCGCATCCCCCTATGATGGTGGGATGGGGCGACGGTCCGCCTCCCCCGCACTGCACGCTCTGTGCCGGGTTCGTGGGGTTTGGGGTTAATTTTATCATGTCCCCTCCCTCCCCTTGCCGTCCCCCCGCGTACGCCCAGTGCGCCATACCTAGTCCTGCTGGCGGGCAGGGAACAAACTGGCATGCACAGTTTGAGCCCGAGCTGAGGGTGGTAGACTTGGACCTGCTGGCGCCCAAGCCCAAAGGCCCTGCTGGGCCTGAGGGTGGTACTCTGAGTCCACCCCAGAGGCCCTGCTTGGCCCCGACGCACGGCGCCGGAGGCATGCTCCAGGAAGCCCTCCCCAAAACATGCCCCGAGGATCTCCACCGCGTAAGGCTGGAGGATGCCGCTGGACCCGAAGCGATAGCGGATGGGCCGTCACGCCAGTTTCTCCCAGTGCTTAGGAAGAACATTTCGGCCATGCATCGTGTCACGGTTTAGACGTAACCCAAAACTTCCCCTACACCCGGAGAGTGTGAAATCACGTGTCGCCCAACCTCCAGAGGCAACGGACGGTTCAAAATTGGAAGCTGTAAGTGTGGGCTCGTGGATCGTGGGCTTCACATCACAGGGGCCACCAGCCAGTAAACCCGCACCTGCGGCTGGCAGGCCATGCGATGCCCCGCCATGGCTCGCATTCAACTCCCAGATGGCACCCGATATTTCACCAACCAGTAGCTCGGGTTTGGCCCACGACAATCGGCCACGCGGTCGGGACAAGGATCAACAAAATGGGATCCCCCCTGGGAGAAGCAAATTCTATGAAAATCCCCCCCGCGTCCCCCCGCATACGCCCAGAGCGCCATGTCTGGTCCTGCTGGCGGGCAGAGCACGAACTGGCATACACAGTTCCGACCCCGAGCTGAGGGTGGTACAGTGCGAGTGTTTGGGGCATTGCTCCCATGGGCAATCACATGGGGAGCCGTCCACCTGCTTGAAACAGGCGCCCAAAACAGCAGAGGTCTACTCCATCGGGGGGGGAGGGGGGGGGAGGGGTGCGAGGGCCCGCGCCGATCGGCAAAACGATAAATAAGAAAACGAGCACTTCTTACTTACCGCGACAACGGCCGTCGCCTACCCTGGGCCCCACCCCGTGCAACTCTTGTCGATTGTCGGCCGACCGATCCGAGCAGGGCCCTCGGACCGAACGCATGTCTGTCACACCGCCACCATTCGTCCTCCTCCTCCTCCACCTACTACTCCCCCTCCTCCTCCTCCTCCTCCTCCTCCTCCTCCTCCTCCTCCACCTCATCCTCCTCCTCCTCCTCCTCCTCCTCCTCCTCCTCCTCCTCCCCCTACTACTCCCCCTCCCCCTCCTCCTCCTCCTCCTCCTCCTCCTCCTCCTCCTTCTCCTCCTCCTCCTCGTCCTCCTCCTCATCCTCCACCCCTCTGCCTCCTCCCATTCCTCCTCCTCCTCCTCCTCCTCCTCCTCCTCCTCCTGGCGCCGCTAGCAAGCTACCAGAGCACACGTACAGTGTTTCAGCACTCCGAGCAGCGCCACGGGACTGGGCCCACCAGGGGCCGCTGACATCAAGATATCTGTTGCGGCTGCTGGCGAGGAAAAGGTGATTATCAAGACAATGGTGACGTTGTTTCGCCTTCATCTTCGAAGTGGCTGGCGCCAGCGCCGACGATTTAGCCCCATCCCCCCCAGGCAACGTCACAATTCATGCTAACATCAAACTCATCATTGGTTATTCCTGAACCTCCAAGCGACGTTACCGGTCCCCCACCTTTCCCCCCCAGCCCCTGGTAACGAGCGCTATCGCCCGGAGACAAAAAGCGCTCTTTTTTCTCATCAGCTAGATCTGTCGTAACTGTCGCCTGCGGCTCCCTCGAGCGGTCAGGACTACAGTTGCTGGCGCCCGTGGCGGCTCCCTCGCGCGGTCAGGGCTCCAGAGCAGGCGGGAGGAAGAGAATCCGACCTGATTGTATCCCCCGCAGTGCCAGCCCAAAATCGGCCACGAAGGCGCGTGGTGGCACAAGGAGCATAGCAAAAAATCTCGGCTTCTTACGGTACGGTGGAGGCCCGACCACAAGAAACCTTCCACAAGAAATTCAACCCTGGACCCCCAGGACGTCAAGCGATCTTTGGCGTGGGAACGTCACGCTTTCCATGGCAAAACCATCGAAACCCAAGAAACCTCAGGCACCCTGGAGACAATCAGGGTGCTTTTTTTTGCATGGGCCTCCACTGTAGCTGACTGCTGTGCGCCACTTGCTCCTGTGGCGTGGCGGCTTCGTGGGCGCGTGTCGGGGCAACTGGCCCCTTCTGCCGTATGCCGCCAAGACCGTGGTTCAAACAATTATCCTCAACACTCAAAGCTGGTGTCAGTTACTGTCGCAAGCCAACTGGCAATTCAGAGTTGAGGCTCCCGACATCTACCTCGACACAGCCTCGAGGCTCGGTGCATATTCATGTGCGCGCATAGCACCAAGTGATAGCAGCGGGAAAACAGCAAAACATACGAACCCAAACACATTGAGATCTGCATCAGCGTCGGCTCCTAGAGGACCAAGCCGCATCATGACGAGCCCATGGCACGCCACTGCAAAAGCTCTGGAAAATCGATCTGGAATCACACCATATACCTGAAGGAAGGGAGGGAGGGAGGGAGGGAAGAGAGGTTGGGAGGCATGCAAGAGGCAGGGAGGGAAAGGGAGAGGAAGGAGAGGGGAAGGGCAGGGGAAGGGGAAGGGCGGAGAGAGGTGGGGGGAGGGGAGAAGAAGGGCCAGACATCAGTAAACCGTGAACCCTGAGCCCTGAACCGTACCCTGAACCCTGGACACTACACCCAAACCGTAGCACGCCACAGAAGGTGTGGCAAACCAGATCCCAGATCGCGTGGTCGACACGGAGCGAGGGCAGTGCTCGACTCCGCGTCATAAAACGAAAGGGCCCCGCACGTCTTGCGTTGCGAAGGCACTCAAAATAAAAAATCTGATGACGCCGGTATTCACCTCGCAGAACCGTGTCTGGCAAGGTGAGGAAAGGCCCGCGCCTACTCGCCCGGGTGCCCTCGCGTCCACGCGCCCCGTCGAACGACGCTGCCAAGCCTCCTCTCCTCTCCTCGCCGTGGCAGCACAGAATTGGAGGCGGCAGCTGGGTGTCGCGTCGCCAGCTCCCACCGAGCGTGCGAACGCTTGCAAGTGCGGCTGAGCAAGCTGCGTCTTCCTGGCGCTCGCTTCCCAGGTCCCGCCACTGCGCAGAGGGGCCTGCCAGCCCTGAAGTCAAGGCTGGGCTGACAGCCCGTGACAAAAACAGACCCCGTGCGGCTCAGCAGGGGCTCCTCCTCGTCCTCCTCTCCGCCTGCTGCTAAGACTCCCCACCCCTACGAAGTCCTGCACGCGCTGGGGCCTCCAAAAAAGGACACGGAACGAAGGGGAGGGGCGGGCAATCCGAAGATGGTGGGGAAACCGACAGGTGCCGATGCCGCTACTCCCTGGACCTCTCCTCGAGTGCGCTGTGACCAGGATCCCGAAACGAATCCGGCGGTGGCGACGAGGGCCTTGCAGGAGGCCCCCAAGAGGCGAAAAAGCAGGGCCTTACAGGGCCAGGGCAGCGGTGGCAGCGGCACCCTCGTCCTCGCGAGCGCAGCACGGCTGCCGTCAGCCGACCAGCCCGCCCAGCACGCAGGCCGAGCCGGCCACGAGGGCGCTCACCGCGGACAGCCCGTGCGGGGCAGCCCCGTCGAGCACGGAGCCGGGCGAGGGCGTGGGGCCGGCCTCGCCGGGCGGCGCGGGAGGCGTGGGGCCGGGGGCCGGGGTCGGAGCGGCGTACGGGTGGCAGGAGCAGCACATGCCCATGGAGCTGAAGTCGTCGTCGTCGAACTCGCCGCAGAAGTGCACCGGGTCCACCCCGTAGGAGAGGCAGCCGTCCCCAGTGGTGTCCTTGTGGGTGGAGGCAGTGTCGGCGCATCCCGGTTCGGCCGGCAGGATCGGTGCCCCTGTGGTGGTCGGCAGGTCTGGCTCCCGGCCGTCGCCGCCTCCGCATGCGCAGCACATGCTCCGAGAGCTGAAGTCGTCGTCGTCGTACTGGCCGCAGTAGTCGGGGTTGCGCTCGTACGTGTCGCAGCCATCTTCAAACAGGTCCTTCAGGCCGACGTCTACATCGTAGCAAGACTGGTCCCCGTCCACCGCACCTGTAGCGTCGATCGCAAAGCCCGTCGTGTCCAGCGTCAATCCTGCATTAGTGAAGCTCTGGGCAAGCAGCTGGGTGATGCCCTCCGAGTTGGCGGCAAGCTCTTCAGCAATTTGCAGGTGCACCGCCGCCATGGACTCGTTCTCCAGGGTCAGCGAGTACTCCACGTGCCACTGCTGAGAGAAAGTACTCCACTGCCACAAGCCAGTGGAAATGGCTGTCACATTCACTTGGTCCTCACGAACACCGTGCGCACTTGCCACTGCGGGTGCGACCGAGGACGCCACGTCATCCGAAGTGCCATCGCTCTTCAGAGACATCCCCTCACGCAGCACGAAGCGCTTCGCTGTCGCCAGCGGTGCCGGCGTCGGTGCAGCCTGCACGTTTTGCCTCGTGACAAACTGCCTCGGAATCACGGATCTGGCTGGTTGCGCTTCCACGCACAGTCTCCAGCCACTTCTCTGAATGCTGAAATCCGACGCCCAGTAAATGTTTGTCGTCGGGGTGATGCCGCTGGGACGTCGCCTCCGTCCAGAATACGCCATCCCGTTGACCACGAGCCTGTCGAAATACGACTCCGTATCGAAGCTCTGCACCATGATAGGCCCCGCTACCTTCGTGTTGATCTCCAAGGTGCACGTCTGATCGGAGTTGTAATATCCTGGGTAGTTCGGACTTTGCACGCAAGCACCGTCCAATGTGCACGCACCAGTAATCCCCGCCCACATGTACGCCGATGTACCCGGCGCGAGAGTCGGCGAGCTGGTCGGTGCGGGAGTCGGGGAGCTGGTCGGTGCAGGAGTCGGCGAGCTAGTCACTCCTGGTATTCCCGCGCATAGCCTCCAACCACTTTTCTGAACGCTGAAATCCGATGCCCACTGAATGTTTGCTGTCGGGATGACGCCGCTGGGACCATTAGTTCCTGAATATGCTCTTCCGTTGACCGTGAGCCTGTCGAAGTACGACTCTGTATTGAAGCTCTCAACCTCGATAGGCGCCGCTGCAATCAAGTCAATCTGAATGGTACACGACTGATCGGTGCTGTAATAATTCGGGTAGTTGGGGCTTTCCACACAAGCGCCGTCCAATGTGCACGCGCCAACGATACTCGCCCACATGTACGACAGTGGTGTGGGTGGAGTGGGAGTCGGCGAGCTGGTCGGCGCGGAAGTCGGCACGCTGGTCGGCGCAGAAGTCGGCGAGCTGGTCGGCGCAGGAGTCGGAGAGCTCGTCGGCGCGGGACTCGGCAAGCTCGTCGGCGCCGGAGTCGGCGAGCTCGTCGGCGCAGGAGTCGGCGAGCTGGTCGGCACGGGAGTCGGTGCGCTGGTCGGTAAGCCAGTCGGCGAGCTCGTCTGCTGGGGAGTCGGCGAGCCAGTCGGCGTGGGAGTCGGCGAGCTGGTCGGCACAGAGGTCGGCGAGCTGGTCGGCGCGAGTGTCGGCGAGCTGGTCGGCGCGGGCGTCGGCGCAGGAGTCGGCGAGCTCGTGGGCGCGGGAGTCGGCGAGCTGGTCGGTGCGGAAGTCGGCACGCTGGTCGGCGCAGTAGTCGGCGAGCTGGTCGGCGCAGGAGTCGGAGAGCTCGTCGGCGCGGGACTCGGCAAGCTCGTCGGCGCCGGAGTCGGCGAGCTCGTCGGCGCAGGAGTCGGCGAGCTGGTTGGCACGGGAGTCGGTGCACTGGTCGGTAAGCCAGTCGGCGAGCTCGTCTGCTGGGGAGTCGGCGAGCCAGTCGGCGTGGGAGTCGGCGAGCTGGTCGGCGCAGAGGTCGGCGACCTGGTCGGCGAGCTGGTCGGTGCCAGAGTCGGCGAGCTGGTCGGCACCTTCGGTGCGGGAGTCGGCGAGCTGGTCGGCGCGGGAGTCGGCGAGCTAGTCGGCGCAGGAGTCGGTGAGCCCGTCGGAGAGGAAGTCGGCGGCGGCGCAGGAGTCGGCGCGCAGACGGCCGACAACCGACGGTCTGGGGCGTCGGCGCACACTCCGTCGTAGCAGTACTGGTTGATGCCGCACTCGTTCTCGAAAGGGCTGGTGTTCGCATCGCACTGGCACTGCATGCGGATCTTGGCAACGCGGCTCTCGCGGCACGGGCAGATCTTGCCCCGGCCGTGGCAGGGCAGGACGTACGTGCTGTAGCCCTCGCCGGGCTCCTTGTACTCGAAGTGCTCCGCCGATACCTCGGAAGAGTAAAGCTGGCAGCTCCCAGACTTTTCGACGTGAACGAACGCATGGCAGCCCGGGTCTGTGACACAGGTCTTATAGCAGGTGGTTCGGGTGTACCCGCTGTCTACGCTGCGTTCCCGAGCAGGGATGTCTGGTGCGATTATGTCCGTGTCATCGTAGAACTCGGCGTCGAGGAAATCGAAACCGGCGGCGTACGCATCACAGATATAAGTATCGTAGCCAGGCACCACCGCCAAATCTTCCACAAAGTTCTTCTTTGACCAGAGCTCGCAGAAGCCCGTGCTCGCCCTGTAGATGAAGCTATGGCAGAACCTGGGGAAGCCAAAAGGTACCGAAACCACTGCTCCCTGGACCTCTCCCAGGGCGCGTTCTGACCAAACTCTCGAGGTGAATCCAGCGGTGGCGACGAGGGCCTCCCAGGAGACCCGAGAGGGGGAACACGAGGGAAGCATAGCCGCATGGCTTTTTTGCCTCCTCCGAGAGCCAGGCGTTCGCGCACTCCATGTTGCACTGGAGCAGCGTCTTCCCCGTCGGGAAGACCCCCACGTCCGCCTTCCCGAGGAAACCGCGACCGGCGAATCCCACACACCCGTCGAAACTCTCGGATGTCGAGTGAGGATTGGGCGCCGCTGGGGCGCCTGTCGTCACGCCGCCTTCGATGGTCACCTCCCCTGGCAGCCGGCAGTCTCCAGCGAAGCACGTGCCATCAATGCCGCTCTCCTTGCAGTACGTCCCGTCCGGGAGGTTGTTGATAGGCTGGCCGTTCACCTCCCACTCGGCGAGGCTCACGCACGTGCCATCTCCGGCCTGGGTGCACTTGATCTTGCAGCCGTGCGCCTCGAGGCCGCAGTAGCTGTCGAACAGGCTGCTCGATGAGCAGACGTGGCCAGTGACGCACACGCCCTCGTTGCAGTAGCCACCGACCTCGGCCAGCGTGCACTCGGTGCCGACCGCCGCGAAGAGGCCCCCCGCGGTGCAGCAGCCGCCGTGGCCGACGGCGCCGGGCGAGCACTGCAGCGAGCGCTCGACGCCGAGCGCTCCGACCTCCAGCTGAAGCTGGCAGCCGCAGCACCCCTCGCAGGCTTGCGACCTGTCGCTGCACTCGCACTGCTCGCCATCCTCCGTGATGCCGTTGCCACACTCGGCCTCGAAGATCGAGAAGCCCGAGCAACTTCCCACGTTGCTGTTGACCTGGGCGCAGATTTCTGGCCTTGGGTCGGGCATGCCCTCCTACAGGTAGGTTTCGGAAGAAAACTAATTCTAAAAACGTCAGAACATAATCAAACATAGTCATGTGTCTGACGACGGAACCAACCATATGCAATTGTAGGTACGGTCGCTCTATGCACCGCCCTCGGTGGAGCTCCCTATGGGGCTACGAAATGTGCGAGGGGCGCACCAAAATGAGCGCGGTGGACGCATGCGGGCGCTGGGATTTGGGCCTTCGGTGGGACTCCCTATTGGGCCACGACACGTGTGAGTAGAGTGCCAGAATGGGCGCGGCGGGCGCATGCGAGCGCTGGGATTTGGGCCTTCGGTGGATCTCGGTGTGGGGCCACGAAGCGTGTGAGAAGTGTGCCAACATGGGTGCGGTGGCCGGCATGCGAGCGCTAGCATGTTAGCCTTCGGTGGAGCTCCCTATGGGGCCACGAAACGTGCGAGGGGCGTACCAAAGTGAGCGCGGTGGGCGGGCGCATCATGCGAGCGCTGGCCTTTGAGCCTTCGGTGGAGCTCCCGATGTGGAAGCGTGCCAGAAGGGGCGCGGTGGGCGCATGCGAGCGCTGGCACTCGGGCCGTCGGTGGATCTCGGTATGGGGCCACGAAGCGTGTGAGAAGTGTGCCAAAATGGGTGCGGCGGCCGCATGCAAGCGCTGGCAAGCCTTCGGTGGAGCTCCCGAAGGGCCACGAAACGTGTGAGGGGCGTACCAACATGGGTGCGGTGGGCGCATGCGAGCGCTGGAATGTTGGCCTTCGGTGGAGCTCCCGATGGGGCCACGAAGCGCGTGAGGGGTGTGCCAAAGTGAGGGGGGTGACGGGAGGAAGGAGGGGGAGGAGGAGGAGGAGGAGGAGGAGGAGGAGGAGGAGGAGGAGGAGGAGGAGGAGGAGGAGGAGGAGGAGGAGGAGGAGGAGAGGGGAGGAGAGGTGGGACGCGGGGACTCTCTCCAAAGCGAGGACCCAACACCACAGGACGGTGGGGAAAAAGAACACGAAAAATCGCCACCAGGCATTTGTTATTATTTTTGAACATTCCTTCTATAGAGGGACATGCCCGACTTAATTCTGGCCTTCGGAGTTCGTTGAACCGATACACGCCATCGATCGTCCCGTCGCCATAGTCCATGATGCCTCCCGTGGCGCCCTGGCCGTATTCGAACGAGTGCCCGGCTCCGAAGTTGTGACCCATCTCGTGTGCGAAGATGTGCCAAGTAGGATATGAGTAAGAGCCTCCGCTCAGCCAGGTGACTCCTGCGTTGTACCCATACGGGTAGCACAGGACCCCTATGTACGCCAGGCCGATGGTGCCACTCTGGAAGCAGTCGTCGAACAGATGCCACACTCCCACGGTGCTGCCCGCAGGACGAGTCCACTCGACAAGCTTCCACAGCTGGCTGTTGATGTCCAGCTCACACGAGGCGCTCTGGTCCCAGCTTGGGGCGCCGGTGTGGGACTGCTGAATGACGAGCTCCCCCAACTGGAGGTGGATATTGAGCTGGGGCTCGTACGCCATGTTCGCGTTGGCGACTATAGCGTTGACCCAGTCCTCTGCCTCGAGTTCGCTCTGGAAGTTTTCCGATGCCCAGACGTTGGAGGTGATGATCGCGCCGAATTTGAAGGTGCGCATGATGTGATCGTCGGTGTAGCAGTCGTCCCAACGGTCGATTGCGTCTGGATTCAGGCCGTTAAGCGAGCTAGAAAGGCGGCGGTCCTGCGAGCTGCTGTTCGGGGGCAAGGTGTTGTCGAAGCGAGTCACCTCAAGGATAGCGCTCCCGTGCGGGTGCCGAATATCGTACATCCAAGGTCCTGCCCACACGGTGCCCCTGAAGCTCCGTCCGACTGTGGTCAGCACCGCATCGTGGCTCGGACTCCTGAAGACAAGAGGCTGGCCGAGAGCACGCTCCTTCTTTCCGCCCTCGCCATAAACAACGACACTGCCGCCAGATGACCGTGCGGTCTGGCGGTGCAACTTGTAGTTGAAGGTCCTGTTGTGCGACCGGAAGCTCAGCTCCAGGACGCTGCCCGATGGATAATACCCCTCAGTGGGCACGTTGCGGGCAGCTGCCTCCAAGAGAATATCCCGCCCGTCCGCGTCCACGAGGCGGAAATCCACTGCAAACTCGGAGGGTCTGGTTGCACTGACCTCCACACAGAGCCACGCCGCTAGCTGCAGCAGGAAGCGGACCATCGGTGCCAGAACGCCCTGACCTCCGTACCTGCACTCGCGAAGATGCGGCACCCCTGTGAACCGAGATGGCTGCAGGAGGAACTACTGCGAACACCTCGCGGGGCCATCCGGGCAGACGCCGCATCGGGCCAGAGGCCAACGACCCAGCCTGGGTTCTACGAACTCCCCCGGAAGCTTGGCTGGAGGGCCTCATGGTCGCGACCCTGCTGGCGGCACCTCATTGGGAGGGGACACGTGGTGGTCGGGACCCAGTGCGCGCCACTCCGTGGGCGGGCCCCCATGGCCGACAACCGGCCGAAGCGCTGTGGACCATCCGAAGTCGTTTATCTTGCGGACTGAGCGGAGAGAGTGGTAGCATTCCAGGTCCCGGCATGCCGGAAGGTGGTCATGCCACTGCAACCATGGTGCCACCATAAGGACGACTGCACAAGGAACGAACAGACTCTCCCGGCCACGGCGAGCTTTGCCCACGAACAGGTCCCCCGACCTAGGCGCCTAAAGAGCGGCCAGCAAACCAGAGCCTCTCCTGAATCCAAAGTGGTCCTTCCCTCAGCGTCTTGACTTTATGCCTGACAAGGGATGTGTCTGTAACTTGCCCCTGGTAAGGGGTCCTTGTTCAGCGCCCTCGCTATATGTTGCGTGGAGCATCCCGCCGGGGAGGCTGTGCTTAGTGCACTCCAAGACTAAACGGGCGGCCTCTGAGAAGCTTCTCCTTGCAGCCCTCCCCCCCCCAGTCGACTCCTGCACGGTCCAGCTCTTCATGTGCTTGGAGATGATGAAGAAAAGGACCTGGCATGGAATAATCCCCTTACATGTGGTGTGCTCACTGGGGAGATGAGGAAGACGGAGAGGAGGAGGAAGACAGGGAGGAGAAGGAGGAGGAGGAGAAGGAGAAGGAGGAGGAGGAGGAGGAGGAGCGCACGTCCCTTAGGCGAGCCGCCGAACGAGAGCCCCACGGCGCATTGACAGGTGTTGCTCGTAGTTGCCGAGCTTCTGAGGGGTTCCAGCTAGCTCGGCACGAAGTTGATGGAATATATTGCAAGCGAGACTAACGAAATCGTGTGCAAGAGCCACCGTGAGATCAGTGTCTTGGTGTTCCTCCTCTGATCCCAGGCCAGGTCACAGGAAAGGGGGAACGGTCGAGATATGCAGACGGGGTAAAGCAATGAGATGGAGCAGGCAGGGGGCAGGAGAGGTGGTGGAGGTGGCTAGTGGTCCACCATCCAGCCAACCAAAGTCTTAAGATGAGGCCGAACTTTACGGGGCTGCGATCGGGTCAAAACCTGGCGAAGACGCAGCCACCTGGCTTTGATCTCGTCATCGGGTCGAACTACCTACAGTTAGCTATGAACACCCTGAGGCCGTTTCCCCCCTCCCCCACGGCGCGGACGACCACGACCCGCCCTATCTCCCAGCCGGGTGCCTTCAGCCCTGGGGGCTGGGAATGTAAATGCTTGCCCCAGCGGTGGTGGTGGTGTTGCTTGTAGCATCAGCCGCAACTATCGCTTCTTGGATGCGATTCGCGGGAAAAGGGAGGCCGCGGCAGCCTCGGCCGACCTTTCTGTAACATTAGGTGGGGCACGTCCCCCTACAGGGAAATGTTCGACGAAAAATAAAAAATAGTCAGAAAAGAAAAAAATGGTCCAAACATGATCAGGAAATCGTCCCCAGACTATTGTTCGACTATTTTTGAATATCCCTCGCCGCAAGATTCCGGACCCTTCGGCCCAGCAGATCGCTGAGAGGAGGCCCTGTGGCACTCGCAGGTGAAGGCCGTGCAAGGCCGCCCCCTCCCACCATCACACAAAACCCCCCGCCCAATTTGGAGAGCGTGCGCAGACGCACGCGATGCGCATCCCAACGCATACACCTGCACGCGGGCGGAGGTGCAATGGCGGAGCCGGCTTCTCAACCCACAAGAACCGTGCAGAGCGCCGGCCATCGAACCAGGAGAATTTGCATAATCATGAACTTCCAGAGGTCCGCGCGGAGTTCTTGGGTCAACGCTGGGCCCACCTGGCGGCGCCTCTTGCGCTGCCCCTTGCACGCTTCGCGCGCCAGGGAGTGGGATTCAGAGCCGATCCAAGACATCCGCGCGAAGCTCCGAAAGATTCTGTTTATGCAGCTCCTTCTTCCAGTACGTAATATTCCTTGCGTGTGGCTTCCTGGCAAGGCGGACAAGACTGGGCGAGAACCCCCAGGACTGACAGACACGTGCACTTATGTAGGCGTATGGCAGCCTCGCTCGGGGCTCGAGGCAAAGGAATCGCCCGTGTCCGCGACCACCACTTCTGGCCAGCCTCCATCCACTGCTCACGCACATCGGCTCCAGGGGCGATGAGGATCCCTAAATATGTTGCCCAGCTCGCGAATTGGAAGCTCGCCCAGGCCAGCACAAGTTGAGCTATCGAGGAGGAGGAGGAGGAGAAGGAGAAGGAGAAGGAGATGGAGAAGAAGATGGAGAAGGAGATGGAGATGGAGAAGGAGATGGAGGAGGAGGAGGAGCAGGAGGAGGAGGAGGAGGAGGAGCTGGGGGAAGGAGGCAGAAGTGAGGGCGATGACTCTAGGTCTCCTCAAAAGTGTAGGCGGCAAGGCATCACCCTGGCATGCAATACATTGAAAAAGGGTCTGGCGACTCGCGGATCCCTTGGACGCAGTCTGGGACTTTCTCGGGGCACTCGAAGATGCTCATCCGCTGATCGGAGGCCATCCTGGAGCAAAATTTGACTTAACAATGTGAAGCCGAGTAAGACAACTTGTGGAAGTCCATAGGTTTTGGCAGAGGTTGGTCAGCTGGGGCTCTCTCTTGTTGGGCCCTCCTCGGCCATCTGGGCCGCCACGTCGGCGTCCTGGCGAGCTCTTGGAGCCCGCTCAGACTGATCCCGGCCCGCCTGCATAGCCCAGAGTCTCCTTCCCTGGAGGCCCGAGAAGCTCGTCTTAGGACTATCTTGGGGCCCTCTGGGAGCCGCTGAGAGAGTTGGGAATCACAGAAATTCGTGCGGTTATTGGGCTGTGTTGTTACTGTCTTTGGCCAATGTGGTGCTCTCTGGGGCCGTCTTAGGCCGCTACAGACGCTCTCTGAGATCGTCGTGGAGCGCCCAGGCGACCGTCAGGAGGTGTCCTCAGGCACTCACGAGCTCCTCCAGGGCCCTCTTGGAGCCATCTTGCATCCAGTTGGGAATCCTAGGCATGGGTTTCAAAGCTCGGGGCTTCCAGAGGTTGTTGCCTGATGGTTGGCTGCATGAGGGCTGTCGATCAGTCCTGTGGCCCTCTCCGGGCCATCTTGGGGACATACTGGAGTCTCCTTCTTTCTTCCGAGACGTGCATGGACAATGGTCCGCACCTGCTTCGCGTTGCACGGAAGGACAGGACAAGAGGGGAAAGGGAGGCAAGAGGCGGCGAGCCTACGGGGTAGAGGCGGAGCAACGTCACCCCACGTAATTCAGGTGATCTCCCAGCGGCTGCTCCGGGCCCTCTTGGGGACGCCTTGGGGACGTCTTGGCGAGGCCTCGGATGATCTGGGCGCTTCGCGGAGACATCCGAGGCTGCACGGGGAGGCCAGCCCCGACCGCTCTCGCTGCCGGGTCCCGCCACGGAGAAACCTGGCCGACCCCCCAACGAGAAAACCCGATTGGTAGATCGCCGAACTGGGTCGGGGCGGCCAGGTCTGCGCTCCCCTTGCGGTGTCCAGGCAGCCTCCGGGGGCCCCTAATGCAGGCCTCTCGGGGGCATCCTGGCAAGTCGAGGGCGCATCACCGAAGGGCAGGAAGTCCAAGAGGAGCTCCGCAGGCCCCTCCCGATGTAGTCGGGGAGCCTGCTGTTTCCGCGCAGAGCGAGGGTGGGGGGGCGCGGCGCCCCCCTCTGCCCAGTGTGTTTCCCGCAGGGCCCCCAAGGAGCACCACGGCCCTCGCGCCCACGGACACGGCGGTGCGCGCGTACCTCGTGTCCACGCAGAGAGGCGGGTTTAGGGTGGGGGGTGGGGGCGCGGCCCCCATAGCTCTCGCCCCGCGCGTTCCACACCTGCTTTCCGAGAAGGGGCGTCTCCTGGCGCGTGAGGTCACTGACTGCTCGGAAATCCCCACAGGCCTCCAGGAGCTTCTGGAGGCCTCCAGAAGCCTTGCACAACACTACTCGAAGCTCTCAGACGAGAACATACACACACACACACGATAATCAAAACAAAAAATCCTCCTCCGCTTATTCTGAATATTACTCGTATGGTTTATTATCGTATTCGTAGTAGTCTTCTCATTACTGCTATTACTATGTATTGATACCATGAGTACTTAGTAGTCTTCGTATTTGTCTTATGAATATTAATAATTATCATGGTTATTCGTAATATTATTCTCGGTCTTGTGATATATATATATATATATATATATATTACGATTACTACTATTCGTCGTATTATTGGTATTATTACTCCTCCTCATCCTTGGCGTCGTGATCCGCCTCATCCTCCGTCTCTTCGGCATCGTCCCCATCCCCCTCCTAGTCTTCCTCCATCTCCTCCTCCATTCCGTCCCCCTCGCTTACTCACTGGTCGGAGGTCAACGCTCAGCGCGTGGGCGAGCGGCGCGATATCACTATGCGCGCACCGGGGCGAGGCGGGGGGGAGACGACTAAAGAAACAGTCACCCCTGGACAGAAGGATCGCGCCCCCAGGGGGAGGGGGGGAGGAGTTTGAAATTGACACTTGGCATCACTCTGGCCACCATTCCAGCAACCACCCTGGCATTCCAGGACTCTGGAAGACTGTCCACACCCGCACCCAGTCCACAGCCCCTGCCCTTCTGGTCTCCAGTTGTGCACCCCTGCCTGGCACAGTTCCACCTTGGACAAGGTGCAGAACTGCAAGAAGACGAATACGAAGCCGTCCCAGCTGACCTCCAAGGCTCCGACGGGCTGGCAACACCGGTCCCGCCCCGCCCCCCCTCGCGATCCCAGAAGCATTGCCAGAGCGATGCGGAAGCAGGCGGAGGAGGAGCGGACGCAGGTCAGGAGAGGAGGAGAAAGAGGATGAGAGGACGATTAAAGGGATGAAGCGCAAGGGAATGCGGATGAGAAGAGAAGAAAGAGAACGAACGAACGAACGAAGAGGAGGAGGAGGAAAGTGAGGAAGAGGACGAGAAGGAGACGTGTAGCCTGTGGCGGGCAGATCCATGTGAAGAGAGAAGTCTCGGCACGAGAGCTGTGCCCGAAGAAAGGCCTCGACTGACACCATCGAGCAGTGACAGAGACGGGCCCTCACGGGCCTGCTGGGGGAGGGAGGGAGGGAGGCCGCGCCTGGGCCCGGGACTCGAAGCGCTGCACGATTCCACCCTCCTGGTTGCGATCGACGAACGTAAGGGACCAGCCTGTCGCGTTCTTGCAAGTGCGGAACGAAAGGTAGAAGCGACTCGGGGCACGTTGCCTGGCGGGCGCCGCGGAAGATGAGGGAACAGGAGCCCGGGAAAAGCAAAGAAAGGGGAGCGGGCGCCCGCCAAGTAGGAGGTCCACCCTCCTCCTCCTTCCCCCCCATCCCTGCCTGCTTCCCTCCGTTCTGGGAGAGGGGGGGATGTGTGACGAACCAGGTGGACCTATAGCATCGGCGACTTGCAGGAGTGACCCTGGGTAAGAGTGACCTTCGGTGCGCGACTCGTTGGGAAGGCCGCGGGGGGGACCAAACCTGGGCGCGCAAGCAGCTGCTTCTGCCTCGTTTTTTCGGCGGTGGACAAACCTCCCTTTAGTAGACCTCCCCTTAGTGAAAACGGCCTTGGACCGAAACCGACGGACCTGGACCCGCAAAAATGACGGCCGCGACGACCCCTCGCGAACCGAAAACGGCCAATTCCTTAATCGACGTGTCCGGGTAGGAGGTCTGTCCAACCCCGATTTTTAGCCATCTGGGGACCCATCTGCGCCCGCACCAAAGGTCACTCCGGCGAACGGTCACTCTGACGTCTAGCCGATAGAAATGTCCCTCCTCAGAGGGCGCGCGCGCGCCTCGAGTCCGGGCGGCGGGCACAGCCGCTCGCCGAGGGCGGCGGCTGCGCCCGCGGACAAGCCTTCCCCTCCGCTGCGGCGGTCCCCTCTGGAGGTGCCGGCCCCTCTTGGGGACCAGCGCTCGGACTGAAGAGGGGAGTTCGCAGGGCGACGGCGCCCCGGGTGGTATCCGAGCCCAGCCGATCAGCCGATCAGCCGATCAGGCCGATCAGCCGATCAGCCGATCAGCGACCAGGCAGCCGATCAGCCGATCAGCCGATCAGCCGATCAGCCTTATCGGCTGATCGGCTGATCGGCTGATCGGCTGCTCGGTCGCTGATCGGCTGATCGGCTGATCGGCTGATCGGCTGCTCGGTCGCTGATCGGCTGATCGGCTGATCGGCTGATCGGCTCCGAAGCTGGGTCGGCCGATCTTCGGCCGAGAGGTCCAAGACGGCCCAAGATGGCCTCAAGAGGGCCCCAAGATGAGCCCAAGATGGGCAAGCCAACTTGAGATGTCGAGCACTGCGCCCCGAAGGGGGAGGGCCGAGACTGCCACAGGGCCGACAAGAGGCCCCCACGAGGACCCAAGAGGCCCTCAATAGGCCCAGAAAAAGCCTCAAGAGGCTCCCAAGCGGTCCCCCTTATGAAGCCCCAAGAGGCTTCAAAACTGCCTTCAACAACAAGCTCCCCGAAAGTTCCCCAAGAGACCCCAATAGGCAGCCAAGAGGCCTCTGACTCAGACCCACAATCCTGGCACGGCGGCGGGATGGGCCGGAGGCCATTAGATCCGCCGCCCCCTGTTGACTTAGCGCAGGGGTGCCCGGCGTGCTGTACGCTACCGCTTTGGGTTTTGGTTCTTTTCCAACAGAATGCTCCCTGAACCAGCCCGCCGGCCTCCCGGAAAGGCCCGCAAGGGAGCGCAAACTGGGCCAGTCGTGGCCTTTCCCGCTCCAAGATGGCCCAAGATGGCCTCCAGGACGGCTCAGATGGCCTGCAAGTTCGCCCAAGACGGCTCAAGAGAACCCAAGATGCCTCCAAGTTTGTCCAAGAAGCCCCCAAGAGGGCCCAAGACGGCCCCAGAGGTCTCCAAAAGGCTTTCAAGATGGCCCAAGAAGCCTCCAAGAGGTCCTCCAGGATGGCCCGAAGAGAGCAACATCATCGTTGTTTCTTGGGTGTTTGAATGGTTTGTTGTTACGTGTTCTTGTTTTTCGGCTTCCGACGGCCCAAGAGGCCCCCAAGATCGCCCAAGAGGCCTCCAAGACGCCCAAGATGGCCTCCAAGATGGCTGCATCCTCCTCCTCCTCCTCCTCCTCCTCCTCCTCCTCCTCCTCCTCCTCCTCCTCCTCCTTTTCCTACCTCACCTGATCCTCCCCCCCATCCTCCCCCAAGTGTTCCCCGAAGAGCTTCCCGAGCAGCTGGGGGAATACATGGTCCGATGGTTTGGTCAAACTGGGGCCCAACTATTGGCCACAGAGGTACTTCCCAGAAGGCAGGGGGCGGCGGTGATTCGCCGTGGGCGTCTTCGATAGCTCCCGAAACTACGCTTGTGCGGCTCTTGCCTACGCGCGCGCACAACTCCTTTATCATGTTCCTCCTCCTCCTCCTCCTCCTCCTCCTCTTTGTTTTCTTCCTCCTCCTCCTCCCGCTACTCTACCCCCCTGTCCCTGTTGCCGTCGCAGTCGCAGCAGCTGCCCTCGTCACCGCCGCCCTGTTGCCGCGACAGCGCTAGCGACTGCGACAACCCCGGCGCGGACATGTTCGGTCTTTGCGCGCGCGTGGCCGGGCTAAATATGCGGCCGCGCCGCCGCAACAGCTCTCTGCGACCTGCCCCGCAGGTCGCGGCCCCGAAAACGTTCAACCCATGTCTGCAGAAGCCGAGCCCCTCTCGAATTGTGCGCCCCGCGGGCCTGAGCTACCCGCTCCGAAGGCGCGCCCCGGCCAACAAAATCCAAGCCAATGGTGGGACTGATGTCGGCGCAAGCCAGCCAGGGCCCGCGCGGAGTGCGGCTGACGACCGCGCAATAGCTAACCTGGTCAGAGAAACGGTGCGAACAAATGCCTAAAATGGTCGAGGCATGCGCCCTCCGTCTTGTCGAGCTCAACCCCGAGCATGACGACGGTTTCCAGGCGCTGGGCCAGGAGGGAATCCCTCTCTGCCCACGCGGGCAGACACCCCGTGCCGCAGTGGCGGTAAACCTCAAGAAAGCCAGCTGGCTGAGGACATTGAACCAGCGAAGCGACACTGTTCGGGCGCCTCGCGGGAGCATCCCTTTGAGACACTCCCAGAGGCGCTCCACAGACACAGTGCCCGATTGCACGGGCACTCCCGCGGAGCGGATGGCCAGTGCCGCCGACTGCCAGGCCCACAGGCCTTCAACCCTCAGAGGCTTCAGGAGGCGGCGGTAATGCGCTCGGACCTTGACGGACCAGACGCTGCGAAGGCCGCGGACCTGCTCGGGCCGATTCTTGTCGCGAATGATTCCCCGACGCCTACGGGTGGAGCGGCGGCCCGGCTTGTGCCACTTGGCATTCCTGCGGACTTCTGCCTTGAACCCCTTGGGGGAGGTGTGCCAACGAAAGCCCATGGACGAGTCCGCCTGAACCCCGGCGCGCCGCGCGATGCGCGACGCCACCCCCCGCGGGGGGTACGGGCCGAACTCCTTCTTCCAGAGGCGGCACTTCGACACGTTCGGCAACTGCAGGAATCGTCGAAGGTCCGCGGCCCCGTCGGCATCCGCGCCCACGCTTGCCTGGAACGCCGCCGCGGTCTTCTCGATTGCGGTCCTGAGCAGCGAAACGCCCGCCGCCGAAAGGCCCCGGGGGCGCGGGCGCGGGGGCGCCTGCCCGGCAGGCGGTGCGTCTGGAGGCGGCGCTGACAGACGTGACAAAATGTCCTGGTGGTCGCATATGAACTCGCGGCAATCGTTGCACGACGGGCTCACGCAGCGCCGCAACGCAATGACCTCAGATGGCCCGCGATGGGCAAAGATCGGCAGGGCAGATCCAGATCGGCCAGGCCCCGAGCGCCGCCGGTCGGCCAGGGCGTGGATCCCGGGTCCGACCTACGCGATCAGGGATCAGCCAGATCTACGATTGCCTTCAGCCTACCGCCGATCGACCAACACTCCGCAGCCCGAACTGGGCCAGCCCTGGGGGCCAGCGCAAGCCGAGGCAGCGGCGTCGTGGACGGGGTCGCCAGCGATGGCCGCCAGAGGCTCGCTGATGCGATCCGCGGCCTGCGCGCCGTCGGCCTTCGGCGTGTCGGCAACTGCGATAGACGTCTGCTCGGGGTACTTGCCCATGTAGAACTCGGCGAGCTTGAGTCGATGTTTGCCGTGCACGTCCGTGGAATGGCAAATCGGCGCGCTGGCGGCCAGGCCCAAGCCCGCTTCTTGGCGGTCACGTTTGAGGCTGGAGACGACGTCGTCGAGGTCGGGGAGCAGGTCGACAAGGTCCTCGGTCTTGCTGGCAATGACGGGCTTGAGGAGCGCGCCGTCCACGCCAATCCACGCCAGTATCACGCTAAACTCACGCCCCTGGTCGTTGCGGACGCGGGCGGCGAGGTCCCAATTTCCGTCCCCTCTGACGACGGAGCCGCTGTAGACGTTGACGTGTTTCCGCACGTGCTCAACCAGCGGGCCCAGGTAATTCTCTAAGGCGTCGCAGATGAAAGCCCTCAGCGCATCATTGCTGGGCGCTGCCGACAAGTGCCACAGCGCGCGCGAGCCCACTGAGAAAGTCAAGCAATTCGACTGTAGTACTCAGCAATTGCTCGGCGAGAGGCCCGACCGCAGAATACCTTGTTGAAGTTCTGGAGCAAGTGCAGCAGGAAGACGCGCGTGGCGAGGGTGAGGCCGTGCTTCTTAGTCTGCAACGCCAACGCCCCGGGGCGCGCTGCTCGGATATCCGCCAACGTCACTGGAAACCCACAGCAATCTCGAGCACCACGGGCATGACAAGTTTGGCATCGGTGCGCCCCCACCTCAAGCTGGAGTGGCAACGGGAAGTCCAGGACGAACTGCGTCTTGGACTGGTCGGCCAGGGGAGCAGTGCAATGGCGCTCGCCCCTGGCAGCGGCCTCTGCCACGTGCGCATCTACGGCGGCAGGGCGAACCACGCAGACGTTGCGGAACCCAGGCCCCCTCTGGCGCGCCTGGGCACGGTCGCGCGCGACGCCCCACAGCGCCGCCAGGGTGCGACTGAGTTGCGCCGGCGCTTTGTCGCAGCCGGCCTCGTCGCGCCAGGAGGTGAAATGGAGGCTCGACCGCTGGCCGCCGCTGCGCAGCGCCGCCTGGAAATGCGCCCCGACGTTGGAAATCTCGGACTGCTTCACCGTGTGCAGATCCTTGTACTGAGCAACCCAAGTCGCGCGCAACGCGCGCACGGGGGCCGGCTGCCGGCTTCGGCGACGCAGCGGGACGACGTCGGCCATCGGCACGCCCGGCGAGAAAAAGCTCCCACGATGAACGCCGGGTCGCCGGCGATGCACCCGAACAGCCCTCCATGAGGGCGCAGCCCATCAGCGCTATCCACGCAGCGCTCTGGCCGGTGGAGCAAGCTCATGCGCATCAAATGTAGCAGGCGCGGCAAAGTCCTGCCGGCCGCCACGCGCTGCGCCCTCTGGCCTGCCGCGGCCACGCTGCGACAATCCTGGCCGCCAACGCGCGGTGGCAGGTTGGCGGGCGAGTTCGCGGGCGCCCCGCCCTCCTCCACAGGCCGCTTCTTCTTCCTCTTCCTTGTTGGCGCCGCCGATCGGAAGAAATTGCGCCTGACCATGCCGCGAGGTAGCCGGGTGGCCGGATCCTGCGCGCTTGCGCACCCCGATGTCTGCGCGCACCTTGCGAGGGAACTGCCGGGGACACCGCGGCATGAAATCATGGTTTCTGCGTTTCCGCCGGCTCTCGCCGATGCCGAGCTCGAGGGCGATCCCCAGCTGGGCCCCTGGCGGCGCACGCTCCGCAGGCGGCTGCCCGGCCCAGTCAACAGGGCGCCCTGGCACGTCAGCGCCTATCGCGTCCACAATGCCCCAAACATCAGGGAAACGCCACGTCCGCGCACTCCCCGCGGCGGTGGACACGAGCCGCGCGCGGCGTCGATGACGTAGCACCAGGACCCTGCTGCGGGCATGGCCCACGGGCGCGCCACGGTTTCCAACGGCACTCTCTTGGCCAAATGCACCTGACCAACAACGCACTGACGGAGCAGCGCGCCCTCCGCCGGGGCGTCTGGCCAAGTCCTGCGCAAAGCCTCCTGGCAGGCGGGATATTTGCTAATCGGACCCTTGCCAACGTGCAGATTAGACCACCCAGGCCGCAGCCAGGAGAAGCGCCTGGTCTCCACGGGCTTGATGCCCCGCAGCATTGCCAATGCCATCTGAGGGCCGTGAACAGTGAATGTCCGCCATGGAAGGCGGGCGTCGCTCTCCATGGCAAGCGCGGCAGGGCGCGCACTTGCCCGAACGCCTTCGAGCCCATATGCCACGGCAAGAAGGGGGTCGGGAAGGAGGGATAAGGACAAGCTGGGGGCGTTCATGCCATATCGCCATATCTGGCGTCGTACCCTTCTCCTCCAAGCCTTGGGATTGCGTAGATCCCCTCTCTATCCGCGCAGTCGGATGACGAAGAAGGCAATGGTCCCAAGAGGGTGGGCGCGCGATACGTGGAATAGCATGGGATACCATGGCACAGAAGAGCACGGCAGAGCGTAGCATACCATAGCGCGGTGCGGCACTGCACAGTGGAGCACTGCGTGTCAGAGCATTGCGGCGCATGGCACGGCATCGCATAGCGGCACACAGCGCAGCATCGCATTGCGCGGAAGAACGAAGCCAGGACCGAGAACGGCAATGAGACCGAGAACGGCTGCAGCGGGAGCCCCCCTCCGGCCCCCTCCTTCAGACGCAGGCACAGTCGCCGTTATCGTTGCCGGGACATTTTCGGCATCCCCGCGCGAGTGGATGCGCTCCCGGCCCGCGCGCGCTGGGCCGCCACAGCTCGCTGCGACCTGCCCCGCAGGCCGCGGCGCAAAAGGCTTTAAAACTGCCGCTGGCAAGGCCCTCTCGAATCGCACGCCCCGTGGCCAAGCTGCCCGCTGCCGGGCCGCTCCAGCCCTGGGAAAAAAGTTCGGCTTCCCAGCGCAAGTGGCTGCGCTCTCTGTCGGCGCGCGTTGAGCCTCCGCAGCCCGCCGCGACCCCCCCCGCAGGCCGCGTCGCAAAGGGCGTTGAAACTGCGGTCGGCCAAGCTCTCTCGAACAGCGCCCCATGGCCAGGGGCTGCCCTCTCCCGGGGCCGCCCTAGCCCTGGAAGAAATCAGCGCTCAGGCTCAGGGTGGCTGTCAGGTCCCTCGCCGTCGGCTTCTCCCGGATCTGCGCCCGCGAACACTTCTTGATGTTCAAGACTGCCCTCCCCTTCGGGCTCGGACCCTTCGGGGGTGGCGCCTCCTCGTCGCCGTCCGGCGCGGGCCTCTTGCGGCCGCGGGCATCCTCGATCTCGACCGAGCCAGCGTCAGCTGCGCGGCGAACCGCAGCGGCGATCACGGTCGCCACATCCTCGACGCCGCGCGCGTTGAAGCCATTGCGCAACCACAGGCGCATGTCAGCGGTGTTCACCACGCCGACGCACTTGCGGTGGGAGAGGATCAGCTTGGCGCACAGGTCCTCCACGGTCAGTGCGCCGCCCCCCCGGCCGGAGGTCGGCCCGCTCTGCGGGCGCCCGATCCCCGCGGGAGTCGGCGCCACCGCGTAGTAGAAGGTCTTGTGCAAGAGAACCTGCCGCCTCCAAGCGCGCATCGCGTGGGCCAGGTCGTAGACGCTTATCTGGGGGGCAGCGGCGGCGCCCGGCGCGGGCACGCGCTGGGGCCGGCCGGTCGCGAAGTTGCCCTCCAAGAAAATGGTCATGCGCATGTTCACGTTAGCGAACTGCATGACGTCGCTGTCCCAGAACTTGAGCTTGTGGACGTAGTGCACATTGAGGCCCTCCGTCTGGTCGCAGTACTCCTGCACCGCCTTACGAACAGAACCGAATAAGGACAGCGCGTAAAAGTCCAGCACCACGTTGGTTGAATCGACCAAGGCGTTGCCCGCGAGCCAGGAGTGGTAATCCTTCAGCAGCTTCGCGGACGCAGTGCAATCTCGCTCTGGCTCGTAAGGAGGGCCCTGAGGGGCGGCGTTCCAAGTGATGTGGTACCTCTTCTGGTAGCCGATCATCGCGGGGCGCATGACGCGCTCCACCGGAGCGCTTTGACCGAGGACCTGGTGGATGCAAGAATAATTCTCCAAGTGCATTGGGCCATTGCCAGTCAGCACGGCGCCCCGCTCGCAGTTCACGAGGGCATTCATCTTGGCCCGAGATAGCCAGTGGATGCCCTTGGCCTGTTTGGAGAGCATGGGTCCGCAATCGTAGGCGGTGACGATCTCGTCCGCGCGCACCCCGGACCGCCTGTGGCTGTAGGTGCAACAGCGGTGGCCACGAATAGTGCCATCTCCTGACGTCACCGTGCCCTCGCGGATCTCCGGGGGCGCGCCGTCGCAATCCATCAGGGCGCGGGACGTGCACGGGAAGAGCGACGATTTGCGCATGGAGGGGTCGCCGGCGCAGAAATGCGGAATATTCGGCGCGCGGCCGTGCTGGTCGGCCGCCTTCTCCTTCAGCCTGGTCGCGGGGTGTTCCAGCCAACCGGCGTTGGTGAAGATCGCCTGCAACAGCGCCTCGGCTGGCCAGCCCCCCCGCAAGGCCACGGTCTGAATTGTGCGGTACATCGGAACCGGTACCAAATTACGGATGGAGAACGCCGGGTCGGCCCCCGCTTCAATGTGGGTGCGTCCGTCGGCCGTGATCTCCTCCAACCACTTCTGGACGGTCGTGTAGGTGCTCTCCTCGCTCTCGAATCCAACAAATATGTCTCGGGTATGCAAGGCCCGGTTCCAACCGCGCAGGTCCTGGCCGTCGTCCTTCAACGCCTGTAGCAGTGGCCGAATCGGGTCGCGCAGCTCCTGGGACACGCGGACGCGCGTCTGGTCTCGGAACCGGATGCCCATATCTTCGTCGACCATCTCCAGAAGCTCGCTGCCATTCTGCGTTAAGGGCACCAGCGCGTCCTCGGCGGCCCCCTGGCCCAGGGACACCAGCGCGCCCTCGACGAGCTCGCCAGCGTCGTCCTCGCCCAGCCGGGCCTCGGGGAGCTGGCCGGCGTTCGCCTCGCCCGGCTGGGCCTCGGCGAGCTCGCCCGCCTGATCCCCCGCGCCCGCCCCGTCGACAGCGTCGGTCGAAGCCCCCGAGGCGATGGCGTTCGGAGGCGAGTCATCCTGTGCGGCACCCGCTGCGCCAGAGGTCAAGTCCTGCGCAGACTGGCGCCGCTGTCCACGACGAATCACTCTTGTTCCTCCTTGGGTGTTGGGGATGTCGAAGACTCCGTGGCCCCCTGCAACTGGCGCCTTCTCCCGGGCGAAACGGCACGTCGGGCAACGCTGCAAATCCTTGCGCGTAATGCCCCTGACGGTCCTGTCCTTCGCCAGGCACTCTTCGTGGAGGACGTGCATGCAATCCATCGCAACGCAAGGAGCTTCTTCGAATTTACCCCAGCATATCGCACACTGCCGGTCATCCTCGCCCATGGTAGCCACGGCCAGGGCGAAGCAGGAAGTCTGGTATTTGCGCGGGCTTGGGGCCACTGCAGACTTGAGAATTTGAGCATAAACACGCTGGTATCATCACAACTCCACTTCCTCCTCACTCCTTCCACTCTCCTCGCTCACTCGCTGCCGAATTGATCGGTGGTTTGGCGCCGTGTGACAGGGCGCTGGGGAAGGTGCACTTGGTTGATATTGGGGGTACGGCGAGACCCCTGAGTGGCTATGAGTGGCTGCGGCGCGGCCCCGAATGGCTGCGAAGTGGCTTCGGGGCGTCCTCGAATGACTACGGGAGGCTGCCTGATTTTTGGAAGATGTCACAATGGTTGATTGCAGCGCGATACCGCTCATACCCCCTTAATCCGAAAACTATTTCAGTAAGTGCACGGCTTTGTGATGAATCGTTCGGTCTCTGTCATGCCTTTGCAGCGGCTTGCGAACTCAGCAACAAGCCGTTCAAAGCGCGGAGACGCGTCGGCTTGCGGTTTCAAGATGTAATCTCTATTATGTTGCCTGGGAACAGGATCGTGACGAAGGGGACTGGCTTCGGGGTGGCTGCGGGGTGGCTACGGGGTGGCTGCGAGTGGCTACGGGGTGGCTGCGGAGTGGCTTCGGGGTGGCTGCGAGTGGTTACGGGGTGGCTGCGGGTGGCTGCAAGGTGGCTACGGGGTGGCTGCGAGTGGCTTCGAGTGGTTTCGGAGTGGCTGCGAGTGGCTGCGAGTGGCTTCGGAGTGGCTCCGGAGTGGCTTCGAGTGGCTGCGAAGTGGCTTCGGGCCTCTCGGCCATCACGCTTGTGTCTTGTCATAGCATGTGGTATTGCAATCCCGACACTACTGTGAGGTTTGGACGTCACCAACGACATGCAAAGCACATGGGCATCTACTGTATGACCGATGTTCTGCCCAAGGACATGTATGCACCTGGGCCATGTTGTGCAAACGAACCGCTAGGGAACGTATGAACCCCTGGAGCCAGCCCCAGGGCCATATGAACCACCATGTCACCATGACCCCTCCAACGCCTACGAAAACGATGCGTCCTATGATCCATGTGAGTGCAATGACTCCCATAAGCCTAGCCAGCACCAAGACCCCCCAAGAAGTGCGTAGAAATGTATCAAGATTCGACCACGCGCTCGGAACACGCGAAGCACGCGGCGCGCGCCCGCCCAGGATTCCCATGACATGCCCTGGCCCACATGGACCGCAGCGTAAGAGCAAAGGGTTGCTGCGCACGGCTAGGCCAACAAGAGGGTGGCCTTGGCATGGAAGCCTCACGTGACTACATTGCAACACGAAGGAAGACTCAGCGTAGCGATTCCAAGGGCCTGAGGCAGGGGGGCCATGGGCCCCAGGAGCCCCCAATAGAGCCTCCCCTGCGCCTCCTCAGCGCTGTGGACGTCGTCGCCATCGTCGGTTTAGTCATCGCCGTCGTCGTCGTCGTCGTCGTCGTCGTCGTCGTCGGCGACGTCTTCATCGGACGTCGTCGCTGTTGAACGTGATGGTGATGATGGGATGGCGACGTGAAGGGGGAATCGACGGCCAAAGATGGGAGGATGTCCAAGGCGAGACTGGCCCGACCACCTCAGGTCAGGGGATCTCTGAACCCCGAGTTGCGAGGATGTCTCAGGCGGAATTGGCTGGACCACCTCGTGCGGGGCATCCCTGAGCCCAAAGATGGGAGGATCATCTCTCGGGCGACACTGGCCTGGCCACCTCAGGTCAAGGGATAACTGAACCCAGAGTTGCGAAGATGTCTTAGGCGAAACTGGACGGGCCACCTCGTGCGGGGAATCTCGGAAC